AGACTCCCTGCTGAGCAGGGAGCCCGATGCGGGACTCGATCCCGGAACTCCAGGATCATGACCTGAGCCGAAGGCAGTCGCTTAACCAACTGAGCCACCACCCAGGCACCCTTGGGAGGGGAATTTGACAATTGTTTCATCCATGTGCCTAGAATAGTACCTGCTATATATAGGTGTTTAATAAAGGTTGATACATAATGAATTACGAGTTTCTAAAATAATATATAATGATATTTATGTAGATGAAGTTGTGACTTGGTATTTCCTAAACCTAGATATGACTCTCAGAAAATAATTTTAGGGGCACCTGGCTGGCTTGATCTTGGGGTTGTGAGTTCAAGCCCCACGTTGGGTACAGAGATTACTTAAAAATTAAATCTTTTTTTAAATTAATTTTTAAAAATCATGAATTTAAAGCCTGAATGAAACTTTGCACATAGATTTTTATATCAGCTTTATTCATAATCATTAAAAACTGGAAACTCAAATGTCTTTCAACGAATGAATGGATAAACAAGCTATGTTTTATCTATATAATAGATTACTGCTCAGCAATAGAAGGGAATAAATTACCGATACATGCAACAACAGTGGATGAATCTCAAAGTCATTATGCTAAGTGAAATAAACGAGATTTAAAAGGCTACAAATTGTATGATTCCATTTATGTTACAGTCCGGAAATGGTAAAAGTATAGGGAAAGAAAGCATATCAGTGGTTGCCAGGAACCAGGGTTGAGGTGAGGGGTTCACTACAAAGGAGAATGAGGGAATGTTTTGGTGTAATGGAAATGTATGTCCTGATTATGGTGATAGTTACACAACTGTACACATTTGTCAGAACTCATTAAGAAGGATGCATTTTATTGTATGTGAATTGTACCTCAAAAAGTGACTTTAAAAAAACCAGAACTCAGGGTGTCTGGGCGGCTCAGTTGATTAAGTGTCTGACTCTTGATTTTAGCTAAGGTTGTGATCTCAGGGTTGTGAGATGGAGCCCTAAGACGGGCTCTGTGCTGGGAATTGAGCCTGCTTAAGATTTTCTCTCTTCCTCTCCCTCTGCCCCTTCCCTCTCCCTCTGCCCCTCCCCCTCTGAAAAAATTTTAAAAAATAAAAAACTTAAAAACCAGAACTCTACTCAGAATTGCTACTGAACAATACATATTGAATATTTTGTTAAAATCTTGCATGTAAATAAAACAATCATATATTTCTTTGAGGTTTTTTTTTCTCTTACAGCTATATGGTTGTTATTTTTTACTATTTCTCCATTCTGTGCAGTTGACTTACATTCTAGAACATAAAAATAGAGACAGAAAATTCACTGTTAAATGGATGCATCTGATTAAATAAAATAAGAGTTTTAAAATGTTACCTATTGAGAAATAATTCTAGGATTTTTTTCTCTCATTGCTGATAGGGAAGAAAATTCTTATTCGCAAAATGCCAAAGAAAGGTCTCCATTTTTTTTTTTAAAGATTTTATTTATTTATTTGAGAGAGAGAGAATGAGAGATAGAGAGCACGAGAGGGAAGAGGGTCAGAGGGAGAAGCAGACTCCCCGCTGAGCAGGGAGCCGGATGTGGGACTCGATCCCGGGACTTCAGGATCATGACCTGAGCCGAAGGCAGTCGCTTAACCGACTGAGCCACCCAGGCACCCGAAAGGTCTCCACTTTTAAAAAAAGACTTTACTTATTTATTTGAGAGAGAGATTGAGAGAGCGAGTGGGAGGAGGGGCAGAGGGAGAAGCAGACTCCCCACTGAGCAGGCAGTCCAACGTGGGACTTGATCCCAGGACCCTGGGATCATGATCTGAGCCGAAGGCAGATGCTTAACAGACTGAGCCACCCAGGCGCGGAAGTTTTCATTTTCTACCCTCAATCCCTCTTTTTTGTTTTTTAGGTAAGGGCCTCACTTTATATTGAAAGGTTATCGGGCGCCTGGGTTGCCCAGTCATTTAGCGGCTGCCTTTGGCTCAGGTCATGATCCCAGGGTCCTGGGATCGAACCCCACATCGGGCTCCTTGCTCAGCAGGGAAGCCTGCTTCTCCCTCTCCCGCTCGCCCTGCTTGTGTTCCCTCTCTCACTGTCTCTCTCTCTCTGTCAGAAAATAAGAAAAATCTTTAAAAAAAAAGAAAAAGGTTAACATGATCCTTTACAGAACAAAAAGCATATCATCATTTGATTAGCATTTGTTCCAAGTAACATTTATTCCAATATAAGTAAAGGAACTTTCTTGTCAAGTTTATTTAATATCAATTTGCATCTTTTTTTTAAGATTTTATTTATTTATTTATTTGACAGAGAGAGACACAGCGAGAGAGGGCACACAAGCAGGGGGAGTGGGAGAGGCTTCCCGCCGAGCAGGGAGTCCGATGAGGGGCTTGATCCCAGGACCCTGGGATCATGACCTGAGCCGAAGGCAGATGCTTAACGACTGAGCCACCCAGGCGCCCTCAATTTGCATCTTAAAACTTCTTTAATTACTGTATAAAATGATAAATAATCTTCCTTTTACCCCTTGTCATCCCCACTCCCTCCCGATATAGCCTTGTAAATCTTCCTAGGCAAAATTTGAAAGAAAGCAAATAAAATTGGCACAACTTCTATGGAGGACAATTTGGCAGTATCTATCAAAATTAAAAATACCTTTTGATCTAAAGGTTCCAGTCTAAGGATTTATTGGTATAGTTGCCCTTTGTATGGTGTAATTAGTTATCAGTTGCTGCTTAGTTTGTGATAATATTGGCTTGGCAACAATCTAAATGTCCAGCCATGGGGATTGACTAAACATGATATTTGCATACAATGGAAAATTATACTGCCACTAGGAAGAACGAAGCAGTAGTGATATGTGATGATGTATAGAAGCAGAAAAATGTTCACCTTTAGCCCAGAGAGGTGACCTATAGCCCGGGTAGTTTAGATAAGGATCAAACAGGGGCTGATTGCTACATTCTTAAAGGGTCTCATGACTGCCTGTAAATCTCACTGATAGTTAATATCCAGCCAAATGATAAGCACCGGAGAAATCTTCCAAAACTAGTTTTACTAGTAGAAATTCGAGGAAGACGTTTATGATGTAATACTCCTTGCACGTCCCCTCACCCTTGAGCTCTAAGCAGGTCACCACTGGCTTCATACAGCAGAAGTGCAGCTCCTTGCCCACAGCTCCTGTTCTCATGCTATAATAATAAGCACCTTTTTGCACCAAAAACGTCTCAAGAATTCCTGACCATTTGCTTGTGGCCCCATATCAATATGGAAGGATATCCAGGATATTTTAAGTGAAAAAAGGAAAGAACTTAACAGTATATATAGTACATTATCTTTCCTGTAAAAAGAAGTACAACTGGTTTTTTTTTTAATATTTTATTTATTTATTTGAGAAAGAGCATAAGCTAGGGGAGGGAGGAAGAGGCAGGGAGCCCAATGCAGGGCTCAATCCCAGGATCCTGGGATCATGACCTGAGCCGCAGGCAGATTGCCAACTGACTGAGCCACCCAGGTGCCCCTGTACAACTGTATTTTCATGTTTATTGATAACATCTCTTGGGAGGGACACATTAGAAAATCCTAAATGATTGCCTCCAGGACTATGGTAGTTGAAGGGCAGGGATGGGAGCAGGAATTATTTTTCACTCTATTTCGTCATAGTCCTTTTTGAATTTTGCATTAGTATACTTCCTCATTTTATAGACATATATAGATAAAATCTATACAGATATAAACAGTGAAGCTTAAAAAATAATAGGTGGTCAATTCAGAATTTTAAAAAGAAAAAATTATATTTCTATTGATGTTGGTGAATTACCATTTGTTAGGGCTGATGAAAGCATTTTCTTTTTTAAAAAAAGATTTTATTTATTTGAGAGAGAGCAAGGATGAGAGAGAGAGGGTGCGCAGGTGCACAAGCCGGGGGGAGGGGTAAAAGGAGAAGCAGACTCCCTGCTGACCAGGGAGCCCGATGAGGGACTTGATCCCAGGACTCTGGGGTCATGACCTGAGCCAAAAGCAGATGCTTAACAGACTGAGCCACCTAGGCACCTGATAAAAACATTTTCATACGCACATCCCTTATAATAGTTTATCACAAAGCTCCTCAAAAACCTGGAAACTTATCAAAAGCAATCTTTAAAATGCTTTTTTCAAAATTAGCAGAAAGTAAACAAAACAAAGTAAGACAACACAGCTTCCTGAGGCTTCTTCACAGAAAGAAAACAGATGAGAGGCAGGAGATTATAAAGTGTTTTTCCAAACGATGAGCCAGAGGTAGTTTCTCTAAACAGTTACCAAACTGGGTTCTATGAGACCCTTTGAAAATCCTGTCGGGTCTATAACTATTAGTTTACTCTCAATTAAATTACAGCTTGCCCTGACTGGCAGGATGTTAAGAGATGAAGGAAAGTGTTGAAAACGATATACTGAAGAACAGTCTTAGTGGCAGAAAATGTTTCGATGACGAACAAAAAGGGCTGGCGAGGCTTCATGGGAGAAGCTCAAGGGAGGTTCCAAGCATCCTCCTGCAGTGAGTCCCTGGAGACTTCCTTTCTCTGCCGACCTGTTGAGGGCCGCTGGCCTCGGGGCACCGACGTCAGCACCGGGAAGCCGGTCTAGGGGGGCTTCGGGTTCGGCCAGACCCCCGGCAGGGGCGGATGGCCTGACCGCCGTCACCTGAGCCCCAGAACAGGTCCATCCGGCTCGGCCCGTCCCCGCCCTTCCGAACCTCGGTAGCGGCTACGTGCACAGGAGGGCGTGATCTGCAGGCCGGGTCCTGCCCGAGCGCCCTGCCCTGAGCGGCCGCGGGACCCAGGAGCGCGGGCCTAGGCCACCGGGGCCGGTGCTCCGCCTGTCCGGGGTCGTCCGACCCGACAGCCGCGCACGTCACCGCCCCCGTGTCGCCTCCCGTAGCTGCAGGGCCCCGCGGCCCCGCAGCCCCCCAGCTTTTCTGGCGGGGAGGGGCGCGGCGTCGCCACGTGACGCCTCGCCCCCGCCCGGCCCTGGTCACATGGGTGGCACGGCCGCTGCGTCAGTCACAGCCCTGGCTGCGGGAGCCGAGTCGCCGTCGCCGCCGCCGCCTCCAGCGGACGGGGCGGGGATCCCGGTGCCAGGTCCTCGTCGGCCCGCCCCTGCCGCCTCAGTCGGCCGTCCCGGGCTGGGCCCGACAGTCATGGAGCGGGGCGGGACCTCCGCCTGTTCTGTGTGAGGCGCGTCGCCGCCGCCGCCCCCGCCTGCGCCTTTCCAGACCTCCCGAACCCCCGCCGCCGCCCGGAGCCCCACGGCCTTGGCAGCCTGTCGCCGTCCCCCCTCCTCCCCCCGGGCGGGCTCGAATGCGCGTCCGGTGAAGGTGCAGGCCCGGCGCCGCCGCTGCCGCAGCTGGGAGATGGTTCGGGCCTAGCGGAGCAGGGATTGGAGGTGAGAGGGGCCGACGGAACTGACTGAGGGCCGGGCCTGGCCGCCGGGTGGGGGTGGGGGAGACGGAGCACAGGGTGCGCCTGGGGGCTCGGGGAGACCTTCCAGGCCGGGGCTGCTCGATCCGGCTTCGCCCCTCTTCTTCCCGTTTCACCCCACGCCCTCGGAAAAAATAAATAAATAAATAAGGCTAACCCATCCTAACAAAAATTCCCAGAAATCCGTCTTTTCGCCGTTTCTCCTTTCCGCTTTCGTTTCTTAATCCATTCCTGCCCTCAGAAATTCCATCGACTGATTTGTTACTTTTTAATACCCTCTTCAATTGGAAGTTATTTCTAGTTAAAGAGAAAATGGGCCTAGATTCTGGCTATCATTACCCAACTAGTTCTCGCTTTCCCTCTCGCGATCCTGCGCACGTCTCCCCCCCCCCCCCCCCCCCCCTCCCTGCAAAAAAAAAAAAAGGAAAATTTTCCACCTTCGGCTAGCGAAGGGGATTAACTAAAAATGAGAAGGTGGGGGGTGTAATACTTGAATATCCCCCATAACTTCGCAATCTTTCTGTTATCACGATAGCTTGTATTTGGATATTGATGTTTAGGCCTTTCCTCCAGCTTGCCTGTGCCCGGGGTTAATCTCGTAATTGACGTCAGTGCTTTGTTCCTTCCACTTTGCTGTTCTTCCACTCTTTGAGGATGGATCATGGGGTATAGGACTTTGAGGAGTATCCTTATTGCTTTTTCTCTCACAATAGATATCATTTATAGGAAGTTGAAAGTACAAATCTGAAATGCTCGTGTGTGGAGTTCAAGAGGAAGAGTTCGATTTAGGGTTCTCGTAGTCAGTTGCAATTCAGAATTGTCCTGATGGCCTTATGGAAATTTTAACCTCAGGCCAATCCCTTTTCCAGTGACCGGTATTTGTCTTGACGGAATCTAAGCTGTAGGTGTCTGTGAATAAGATGTTTGTAAATGTGACGTTTTAAAATATGTGTTGATTTTTAGGACTCAGGTGTTAAAAGCTCAAAGCTTTGTTTCCATATTGATTCTGCAAAGCTTTGTAAAGTGGTTTTTTTTTTTATTTAACTGTACTTTGACTTATCAAAATTGACATGAGAATTTTCTTAATTTGGCATTTGATAAAGAGCCTTTGTGGCCTGCGAATCTGCTTGGAATCATCTTTGGTCATATGTGCATAAAGAAGTGTTGGCAAGTGGCCACTTGGTTTTTAACAAAGCTGGCTTCTTTAAATTTCTCAGGTTTATTTTCCTTATTCATCACTGCATCTTTCATTCTCTAAACATTTAGAAAAACCCTCAAGAAGTTATTTTTAATTATCTTTTAGAGTCACTACCTGGCCGCAATATATGTATTTTTTTAATATCACCAGTTTCATTCAGTTTGTGGTGGCTTGCGTGCTGACGACTTTGGTTTTGTTAGCTCTGCAGGAACAGTAGGCAAATTCTACTTTAAATAAAATTTTGCGTCAAGTGGGGACAGGATAGCATGTCTGTGAATGACCCAACCTTTACTGTCTGGTTAAAAAAAAAAAATCTTAGCTGTGTTAATTGGAAAGTGCTCTACAGTTTTGGGGTGTAAAGATGATTGTACAGTGCTTTGGTGAAGCTCTGTAATTAAGAATTCCTAAAGATAGAATATTTTCATTCAGATTCACTTTCTACTTGTCAGATGACATACAATCTCTGTGTTCTTGAGTTACTGTATGCCGTTTGTAACAGTTGATACATTCTCCTTTTCTATTGTAATTTTCTTATAGGTCTCTTGTAGTGTGTTTAGAACACGAACTATATTTATATCTCTCCATATCCTCCCCAGTATTTTACACAACTATTAGGTTGAATTTGAATATGATATCCAACCTAAGATTTCACAAAAGGGTAATCTAAAGAAAACTATGAGCAAGTGATCTGTATTTGAAGGGGAAAAAGTGACTCTCAGCTGCAGAAGATGACAGAAGATGAAGCCTTCTAAAAGTTATTTATTTTACCTGTTTTGAAGAGTTAAGGTAAATGTCATGGCTTTATGTGTACCTGAGAGAAACAAAGAAAACAGGTATTTCTTCTTTTGTGGCCATCTACTGGTTTAGAATGGAGTCCAAAATGTATGAGGCCTTCTCTTCATAGTATTTTTCATAAAATCTAAGAGGTGTTCTTATAAGTATTGAAGACACACCTGGACAATGATCCAGAAGTGCAGTGTGTACTATAAAAGTTGATGACTTAGGTGTTATTTTTTTATTTTAGCTCTGTTCTCCGGGTAGCTTACTATTAAAACTTTCCTTGTGTCAACTATACTCAAAAAAAATTTTTTTAACTTTCCTATATAAGGTACAGGTTTCCCTGCTTTTGAACTCCCAATCCTCATTATGTTTTACTCATTTCCTTTTTCATTTCCTCTGGTAAGTTGGAATGATTATGCTTGATTTCTGGGAGGGTGTGTGCCAGTCTTAGTTATTGTGAAATAAGGTGTAGTCAGTGATTAAAGACTGCTTAAAGCTAACCTCACTCTGCTGCTTTTTCCTTTGCTTTAAGAAAAGCACCCCTACTTGAAGTAAGTTTTTATCCTCATCTTGGTTGTTTGAAGTGATACTCTAGTACCTGGAAGAGGATGTAATAAACATGACAGTTACTGAGTTTTGGCTGGTCATCTGCATTCCTGTTTGTCTTGATGTTCATTTTCACTGGCATCATATCCTAAGAATTTTAATGGTATTGGCATACAGAAAATATTAGAACCACTGAATTCATTTCCAAAATATTCCCGAAGCATTTTAACATTGGGACTACTTATTAATTCTGTTTTTGAAGGAAAAAATATTAAACTCTACCTTCTTCAAATGGCTGAAATTCAAAACTCAAGAAACAGGTGTTGGTGAGGATGTAGAGAAGGAGGAACCCTTGTGCGCTGTTGGTGGGAATGCAAACTGGTGTGGCCACTGTGGAAGACAGTATTGCCTCAAAAAATTAAAAATAGAACTATCCTACAATCCAGGGATCGCACTACTGGGTATTTACCCAAAGAATTTGAAAACACTAATTCAGAGGGATATATATACCCCTATGTTTATTGCAGATTATTTGCAATAGCCAAACTATGGTAGCAGCCCACATATCCATTGATATATGTGTGTGTGTGTGTGTGTGTGTATGTATATGCATATGTGTATATATCCATTCATATATATGTAGATGCACACATACACAATGGAATATTACTCGGCCGTAAAAAGGAATAAAATGTTGCCATTTGCTATTTGCAACAACATGGATGGAGCTAGAGGGGATAGTGCCAAGCGAAATAAGTCAGGAAAAGACAAATACCATCAGAGAAAGACAAATACCATTTGATTTCACTTACGTGGAAATTAAGAAGCAAAACAAATGAAAGAAAACAAAACAAAGGAAAGAAAAAAAAGACAAACCAAATAACAGAGTCTTAACTCTAGAGAATAAGCAGATGGTTACCAGAGGGGAGGCAGGTGGCAGGAATGGATGAAATAGGTGAAGGGGATTAGGAATGCACTTGTCTTTTTAAAACATTTTTATTTTAATTCCAGTATAGTTAACATACAGTGCACTGTGCAAGAGGAGTGCACTTGTCTTGATGAGCACCTGAGTAATGTATGGAACTGTTGGACCACCATATTGTATACCTGAAACTAATACGGCATTGTGTGTTAACTACAGTAGAATTAAAAAAAAAAAATCGGTAGATACAACCGAAAAATGATATCTACCTGCTTCATCAGCTATACTTTATTTAAAAACTTGTAACCTGAGGCATGTTCTGAGGGAAGGCATTTCATGTAACTTTACCTCTGTTGGAGTGCCAAATAAACCATGGTGGTAGCTTTTAGGTGGGTAGACAAAGCTTATTATTGGGTACCATTTTAAACTGATTTTTTTCGATTATTTCCTAGGATGGGTAAAAGAACCTTGTGCATTGTTTTTCCAAAGTCATGTGTGTGTGGTAGGGGAAATCAGGGATTGCCATGGATAGATTGCCCTAAAAAGCCAGTATGGTTTTGCTACCAGTTACTGTCGTGACCTGTCCTGGGACTGTGTTGCCTGGAGCTTAAGGGCTGAATGGCTGTCATGATTTTGTTAAGTTAGAGATGCCTAGTGGGTTATGATTTTTCACTGTGACTTTCCTTTTCTTGTCATCATTATGGTAACACCAGTTTTATGGAGAGGTGAGTATAAGCCAGTGCTCTGCATTGACAGGCCTTCCCACTGCAATTGCTTCCATTTCTTCCATCTGGAATATCACTTTTCCTTTCTTGTTCTCTACCTGTTAAAATTTCACTGTCTTTTAAGGCCCGGTGCAAATACTATTGCTTTCGTAAGTTTTGCTTGACTCCCCTCGCTACTCCTTTGGCACCCAGCTCCTTTGAATCCCTGCATCCCTTTATTATCTCTCATTTGTTTTGTTAACTATGGGACTATAGCCTGCTGGGTGACATCCAGCACAGTGTATCAGGGAAGACATCTTAGTAAAATAAAGACTGTTTAATATTGTTTCAATATGTATTTCTAAAGAATAAGGATTAAAATAATAATCAACCTTTCACTGAAGAAATTTATACTAATTCCTTAGTATCATCATGTATCTAGTCAGTGTGCAAATTTCCCTGATTACAGTTTTTGTTTTAACAGTTTGTTTGAATTAGGATCCAAATGAGATTGTATCTTTTTTGTTCTCTAAAGGAGCCATGTCTTTGCCCTATGAGAATTCTCACAGTCCAGATTGTGCTGATTACATCCCTGTGGTTTCATGTAGTATGTTCCTCAGTCCCTTTTTCCTGTATATTAGTAGTTACATCTAGAAGCTTGATCTGATTGAGGCTTGAATTTTTATTCTTAAGTAAACTCTGTGCCCAACATTGAGCTTGACTTCAGGACCTTGAAATTAAGAGGCACATGCTCTACTAACTGAACCAGCCAGGCATCCTGAGGCTTGATTTTTTTTTTTTTTTTAAGATTTTAC